TTCCTTCCTTCCTTCCTTCCTTCCTTCCTTCCTTCCTTCCTTCCTTCTTTCCTTCCTTCCTTCCTTCTTTCTTTCTTCTTTCTCTCTCTCTCTCTCTCTCTCTCTCTCTCTCTTTCTTCTTTAGATGGAATCTCGCTCTTTCGCCCAGGCTGGAGTGCAGTGGCATGATCTCAGCTCACTGCAACCCCTGTCTCCCAGGTTCAAGCGAGTCTCATGCCTCAGTCTCCCTGGGATTACAGTGGGATTACAAGCATGCCACCACGCCTGGCTAATATGTTGTAGTTTTAGTACAGATGAGGTTTTGCCATGTTGGCCAGGCTGGTCTCGGGCTATTGGCCTCAAGTGATCCACCCGCCTCAACCTCCCAAAGTGCTGGGATTACAGGCGTGAGCCACTGCGCCCAGCCGAGCTGTCATTTTCTAATGACCTATAAGCAGTGATCCCACTGAAGGATCCCTGTCTGAAGCATTTTCTTAGGGAAACTGGAGAAAAAAAAAAAGAACGGAAACAACTACAACAGGCTGGGTGCGATGACTCACACCTGTAATCCTAGCACTTTGGGAGGCTGAGGCAGGCAGATCACTGGAGGTCAGGAGTTCGAGACCACCTGGCCAACATGACAAAAACCTGTCTCTATGAAAAACACAAAAATTAGCTGGGTGTGGCAGTGGATGCCTGTAATCTCAGCTACTCAGGAGGCTGAGGCATGAGAAACACTTAAATCTGGGAGGCAGATGTTGCCGTGAGCCAAGATCATGCTACTGCACTTCAGCCTGGGAGACAGTGAGACTCCATCTCAAAAACAAACAAAACAAAGTAAAAAACACCAAAAAACCAAGAATGATGCTAAATGGATTTGTGTGTGTGTGTACGTGTGTGTTTTGCTACCATATTTTCTGTTCAATAGGGTCAATATTTATTTTCTCATAGAGAATGTCCTCTGAAGCCTTAAGATATGTTCTCTATGTGGAACTACTTTTTATTATACTGAACCAATAATTGAATATCAGCTGTGTCATTTTCATTTAAATGTAAAATTTTGTTTTTTGAATATATAATTTCTTTATTGGGTTAAAAATTTGAAAAATGCTTTTAGTGAAAAAGATACCCTCCAAATCCTGTCCTTCAGCTATACAGTATCATTTCTTGTAGGAAACCTGTTTCGAATTCCTTGTATACCCTTGGTTCTCAGATAAATACACATATACAATTTTTCTTTTTTAGATACAGATTGCATCATACAATATACTCTTTAGCACCTTGCCTTTTTAAAAACTTAACAATAGGTCTTGCAGATGGTTGCATTTTAGAGCAGAAACACTTTCTCATAATTTCTTATAGCTATATAGTCTTCCATTGTATGGATATAGCATTCAGCCCGTTCCATATGGATTGGCTTTTCGGTCATTTCCAACCTTATGTTGTAACAAACTACACTGCGGCACTGCAGTGTGTATACGTCATTTTGCACCTGTGTGAATATATCTGTGGGATAAATTATTAAAAGCACATTAATGGATATAGTCAAGTTTCCTTCCTAATTGTTGACAATTTATACTTCTACCACATGTGTATGAGCATCTTATTTCCTTACACTCTCACCAATAATATCAAATATTTTTAATTTTTTCAGTCTTATCAATAGATGAAAAATGGTTTCTTAGTGCTGTTTTAACTTGCTTTTATCTTATTACGAGTGGCACTGAATATCTTCTTGTTGGATTCCCATATGTGCTTCCCAATGCCTTTTCATTCATATGTATAGACAATTTATATTGTACTTTCTGTGACCTGTCTATTTAGGCTGTTGTCCATCAAGTTGTTATTGATTTGTAGTACCTCTTGATATCTTATAAACATTAGTGCTTTGTTTGTAAAATAAGCCACAAATACTTCTTTCCAGTATGTCCTTTGTTTTTTACATTGTTTGGGTGGTACTTGCTATGTAGATTTTTAATGTCTATGAGGTGAATTCATGAATCTTTTTAAGTTTATTGCCTCTGGATTTTGTTTAGTTCTTAGGAGTGTCCTCCTTATCCCAAATATAAAATATTTGGTAATAGTTTCCTCTGGCATGGTTTGGGTTTTCTTTTTTACGTTTAAATAGTATTATTTAAATGTATTCTTGAGATGTGATTTGATTTAGGTCGTTAAGTATGGATCAAATGGATTTCTGTTATTTTTGTTTTATATATATATATATATATCTTTTTACTATACTTTAAGTTCTAGGGTACATGTGCACAACACGCAGGTTTGTTACATATGTATACATGTGCCATGTTGGTGTGCTGCACCCATCAACTCGTCAGCACCCTTCAACTCGTCATTTACATCAGGTGTAACTCTCAGGGTATATGTCTATTTTTAATGTAATTTTATTATTTTCTGGAGACAGAGCCTCTGTCACCCAGGCTGGAGTGCGGCAGTGTGATCATAGTTCACTGCAGCCTCAAACTCTTGGGCTGCAGTTATGTTCCCACCTCAGCCTCCTGAGTAGCTGGGATTACAGTTGCACACCACCAAGCCTGCATAATTGTTATAGTTTTTGTAGACAAGGGATTTCACCAGTTGGCCAGGCTGGTCTTGGACTCCTGAGCTCAAGTGATCTGCCCACCTTGGCCTCCCAAAATGCTGGGATTACATTTGTGAACCTCTGTACCTGGCCTGCAGTGATATTTCTGTCAAACCTGAGAAATACACTGGGGATAAATCCAATAAATATAATAAAATAAAAAATTATGATCAAGGACACTTAGACTTAATGTTGAATCAGAGAACCTATAGTAGAGAAAAATACTATAGGTAATATATAAGGCCAATCATTGGCCCACTAGTTGGAAAATGTTTATAGCTAACCCATGGGAAGTTTCAGTCCTGTCTTAATTTATTAAGTATTACTGAATGTACACTGGAAAATATAAACATAATTAATCAGAAATATTTTAATGTCTTTTCATTCTGTTTTGGACATGAGGAAATCACGTTTTAATGAGTTGCAACTATGGTAAAGTCATAGATTCAGCTATTTTGCACT